TAGTCAATATACCACATATGTTCCAAGAAGGACCACAACTTTTTAACACTTAATACAATAACATTGCAACTAGAGAGGATATCTTTTTAGTTTTTGTTCCTCTGGGTGATTTTTCACTTTTTGGCAATGCATGCCTTTCCATCCAGTGTCTGGAGCAGAGAACATATGCTTCCTTTAAAGCAAAAGGTAAACAGGGTTTGTCTCCATAAACACTCACCAAGTGCCAAGGCCTCCGGGTATCTTTTGGTGTCAAAATAGAGTGCGATCAGTCGAGCCTGAAAGAACAAGGTGTGCCATTAGACGAGCAGGCAGCAGCAGTGCCAGTATATTGCCTTATATTAAAGGCACAACATGCAGCATGGACCAGAAGGACAAAACACACTTCTCGGATATATGTTACACCAAAAATTACTTTGACCTACTCGGCATTTAGAAGTCTGAACTTGGTTTGTGATCATCTTTTTTTATTTTAGATAATTCCGTAAAAATCTAAAACATATAATTGCAATTATTAATCTTTACAGAATATTTTTAAAGGCCTAGGAAGAGTAGCCTAATGGGCCTCAAATTCCACACATCTTGCTTGTTTTCCCATTCAACCCTACAACTCTACTCCCACACATTCACCGTGTCTTGATATAAACCGAGATTGTAACAAGCATATTAATGACATGTAATGCCAGGAACAAAACTAAATAACATAAATCCCATACATATATAGATTAAGCTGAGAGCTCATTTTCATTTGAAGCCCCCGGGCAGGTAGAAACCAACATGAACCTGATGTTTGGTCGTTGATCATGCTCTACACACAAAATGATATTACTGGCATGTTGGCCCACATGATGGAATAGGCACGTTTTAGATACTGGCCTTTTAAAAATGTTAAGCCGTTTGGGAACGTGCTAAATTACTGGCGGCAGCTAGATCTATGAAAAATTGTGAAGCGGCATCACATTACTGTCTGCTGAGGCTACTGTTGAAGGACAGTGTTTAACTATTTTAAGCTGAATCTTATCCAATACATCACAAGAGGACTCCTGAATGGTATTCAACTTTTTTTTTTCTTTTATTACTCCCATCACATAACTTATGTTTGTCCTCGTGGCTTGTCTTAAGAGCGTCCCTCGTCTCAGGTTTCACTTACTCATACATGCCACTTTCATTACATAGTTTTCTTCTTCACTTTGTAGGCCACATTGTAGTAATAAAAGATGTTGTTGAGCCAAAAGCTCCAGATATTCCTGGCTGTGAGTGTGCTGGCAGTCATTTTGCTATGAAGCAAGGTGATGTCATCGTATATGGCAGTGTGTAGTAGCTGTGTTGGCATCTTTTGTTTTTTACTTTCGTAATGCAAAGTTTACAACTCGTCACAAGCTTTATTACATTTAGCAAGTTTCTCCACCATAATATGTTTGAAATCAAAGCGTCTCCCACTCCCTGAGTCAGGAAATGTTAAATGTGATTCCTCTCACAGCTGCTATTCATGTTTGGGGCTATCGCTTTTGTTTATACTATCATTAATCATTAAAGGTGTTGTGTGTTGGCGCTAATCACGGTAAGGTGAGAGGACGGATATATCAGCTGGGGTTGTTTCCCATTTTCTGCCTCATCAGCAATCAAGGTCTCAAAGATAAGGCAAATAATAAACACTTAAGAGCCTAATTGGTGCACTATAAGTTGTTGCAAAACCATTGATTATAATATTTTCGTGATATCCAATTATATGGGTAAAGGAAAAACATCCCTATTGTCATATATTCCATTAGAAAGCACCCACAAGGTTTTTCTAGACCTCTTTACCTCCAGAGCCTGTCGTAGGAAGGTTCTCTTCTCTGTCTTGGCCCATTCAATGCACTCAAGACACAGCTCCACCTCCTGTCCTGTCGCTGCCTCCATGTCGAGAAAGAGATCCAGCAGAGAGCGGACCAGCCGGGCCGCCTTCGCCTTGCTGATGGAAATCAGGAAAGGCCTCACAAATTTCAGCAGACCACCTAGTTCTGTAGACGTAAAGAGAGAGAAATATTTCAGAGATTGCATACATAACGTAGAATAAGTTCCATTAGGTTTCTGGGTTAAGTAGAGACAGACACAGAATGGAAATCAAAGTTGATCCTTACCGGCAGCCTGTCCCGTCTTGGCCAGCAGACTCCCCAGCTCCAGGATGCTCTGCTCTTTAACTCTGACAGCTTCCTCATCGTTCTCCTGGATATCTCTCCTCACTGATAAAGAAAGACAACAAGTTGACAACAGAAACCAATTTACTTATTCTATCCTAACTTAATGCAATGGGTAAATAAACAGTGTGGGTGCCACAGTGATACACTAATTTAATCAGTGAGAGTCTCTGACTTTTAATGCCTTTTAAACATGATCTTACTCACTTCTGTTTTGATACCGTTTTTAATCCTATAAGATCTGTTTTATTTGCATTACCTCAATATAACTTAATGTTGGGTCTACTTACTATTATGACAATTATGGATGATGAAAACAACAACTCATTGTAAGCACATTTTACATTAGTCACCCTAACCCAAATTCCTTTTTCTTTAAATAGCTTTCCATGTCTGAACATCAGTCCAGAACCCACATATTTTACAATTACAAATCTTCATTTTAGATGGCTGCTTTGTCAGGAAATAAAAAAGGAATCAAACTTTAATACACATTTCTGTATGAATCCCTCCCAGTATGACTTACATTTTGGACAAATCCAAATAATCGGTGTATGATCTCCAACTTTCATGTTGACAAATCCTTAACGTTACATCTGTATATTGTTTTACTGTTTTATATCCTGAGTATTCCATGGCTTGAATACAATTGCACCAATAAAAAGGTGGAATGAGCAAATGTCTGGCTTTATGCTAGAAAGAACAACTTATATATAATTGTAAGTACTCAAATTGCTTATAAATGATTAACTAAACTACTGAGAACAAAATCAATGCTTTGTCACGACATAATTATTTGAGCGGATGAATAGATGTAGCCGGATAGTTTGACAGCTAATGGACAGAAGTGACAAGGCAATTTGAGGACAGTGATGCCTATAGGAAATGTAAGACCTGTGTACAGTAACTTAAATTATTGTGCAATTTCCATAAGATCGTGTATGCGCCACAAATAACAAACAAACCATGGCCATTTAGCAACCATTACATTAAAAAATGGTAGTTGTTATTGTACTGAATCAGAAAGCTTCTTTTCACTGTGTTGACGAAATGGTTTAAAGGCTTTTGACAACAAGCTAAAGACGTTAGCCTGAACAGCAATCATGCTAACATGACAGTCTTAAGTTGAGCTAATGATAGTTATATTATAAACTGTGGTCAATGACGCAGCAACACAATACCCAATTACACAGTCAAAAAACGTAACATTTGTGAAAACTACTAACACATTTCACGCCCAGGCCTAGAGTTAGCATAGGTGCTAACGAGCTAACTAGCTAAAATCCACTAGCATTTGCCGTTACCCAGCGTTCAACAGTGAGTCAGCAAGGCACACCGCCGGCTCTTGCTATTCAACGCCACTAGCTAGAATGCTAACCGCGCCGCCTGAACACTGACCGAGACATTATTTCGGTATCAAAAGTGTCCATCTCAAACCTCGGACGAACACTTACCTATTGAGTGGAGAATGTCGATAGAGGCGTTGCGGTCCGTGCTAATGAGAGACTGGGCTCTCTGAAACTCAACCACTGCTGCAGCCGCCATCTTCCTTATTCAAATGCTGCCTGAATGAAAATTACGTGAGGCGACTACGTTACCTTACGTGTGTGTGACGACATCGTGCATGTTGGGATTTAAAGGCAAATGGGAAATGTAGTCACAATGAAAAACTGTAATTTGAGTAAGTGTTTCCACAAAGCGTGTAGCCTATATATAACGGTATATATGTAATTTGTTGTCGATTATCCTTTTTAGGAGTCATATTTCCTGAGTTAGTTGGACAATATAAGCCCGGTGGAATTATTTCATGTAATGTTACTCATCGCAGAGGATGTAGGCTATAGCCTAAAACATGGACATAGCCTACACATCGACACATGTAATTCCTTAGGTAAGCTATGTGCTTTTAAAAACCTTAAAAAAGAACAAACCAATAATTGGCATATAGATAGACTGTATTAGCGTATACATTTCTGAACAAAAAAGGCCAACAAGGTGAATATCATAAAATATACTGGTATCATAATAAATCATTTGGGTTAAAAAACAGGGACCTATCATTTTTAAAAGATACGTGCCCAAATGCTTACCAAAAGCCAAAATTCAATAGTTTTCTTGATAATGTGACACCATTTCACGTTTTCTGTTTTCATTTAAGAATTAAGTCATCTAAAGCGAGATGCAATACTCCTCTGAAGCCATATATATTATGATCAAACTTCAGCATCCTTACGTCCGAATCCACAACGGTGATTCCCCAAGCAGGAACAATTTAACAACAATTTTAATATATATATATTTATCTGGGGTCTATAAGAGGATATAATTAAAAATGGAATAAAGAAACACAATCTGCCAATTAAATTATGCATTGGTCTGACGGGCTATCTCATATTGGAGTAGCACAGATACAGGCACGCCCCCACTAGAGGACTGTAGGAACATATAAATACAGTAGCCTATATGATGAGATAAATAAGCCTATCCGGGGATTAAAATCGCACAATCGCCTGCAAAGTACTACTCAGTATAGGCTTTGATCGATCTTGCCTATCAACTGGTGCTTATAGGTGGATGCTGTTGATTGAGTTATTGGTGATAATGGTGTCATGAAGAAAAACATCCTGTGAGTTCAGCGGGTTCAGTTTGCATGCTGTGCTTCTTCTATAGGCGGAGTGGTTTCCAGCAGAGGCAGCAGCGCGCACAGAGCGCAGGGCGGCGCCCCACCACCGCCTTTCCGCCAGTCCTCCTCACTGAGCCAGTGACACAACACAACATCAGCCCTCGCAGCATCCGCATCTCACGGCCGAGGAGGACCAGGAGCACATCTTCATCTAAGCATCCATTCCACAACTGCCTCCCATCGTCTGCGCATCGCCGACACCAGGCGTGTTCCTCCACAGCTGGATCTTTTTTATTTTTCGCCTCGACTCGGATTATTTTCTTGGGTTCATTGCTTTTCTTGGAGATGGTTTTACGCTTTTAACGCGTCTTGTGAGGAAAACAGGCTCGGGACGCGGAGCATCGTCGTTACAGCGAAATATATCCTCATTGAGAAGGACATTTGGTGAGTTTATTTTCATTTTGGTACATATTGTTGCATGCGTTCACATTGTAAATATATTTGGTGGATAACACAGAGGATGTGCGGCTATATAAATAGGGAAATAGGGAACTAAATTGAAATAAATTGAAATAAATTAGATATAGGCAGCTAAATGCAGCACCATATGTAAGATGTTTACAGATTGGAAGAAAATAAGAGTGTTCTCTTAATATCTTAGCCACCGCCTATCACGGCCATCATTTTTATTTCGACGCAGACACTCAGTTTCAGCACCATGGAGAGTACCCGATGTACACAAGCCCTTATCACACAACAAGAAGCCCAATACATGCTCTTTAAACCCAGTGAATTGACATTTAACACTGATGTTTCGGAATTTTTGATGGATCAGATTGATAACAGGGTGATGGAATGAAAGATGGAGGCTCGGATCCTGCGCAAGCGATCAAAGTCGATCATCGAGAGACGTATGCATACAGTAGATACTGCAGCGAGGAGGAAAACATGTCGTGCAAAGACAGAATCATACATCTGTTTGCTAGTTTTAATAGACGTGGAATGACCTTGGATTTGTGTTTTAATATGCTACTGTATATGCAGCAGGCGACCTTCACCTATTAAGGTGTTTACGTTTACAGTCTTCCATTTTAGTGAGGGGGTGGCGCATGGTGGCTCGTCGGCCATTGCCCATAAAATATGTCTCTCTCATTATAATATGTTCATATATTCATCATATCCATTTTCATTAAATGTGGACTAATTCCTTCCCATCTTTGATCTCCTATATTATTATCACCATTCATATGCTCATTGCAGATTATGCATTTCAGCTGCAGCATCACACCGACATGTTTGTACATTCAGGATGCTTATTACATTGATCATGCAGCAGCAGGGTTCTATATTTTTTTGAATTAATTAGCATAAGCTTTACTGATCCATCCCACCACTTACTGAGTCAAATCAATACTGCTAATAAGCCTGAGGTGCAGTCAGATAAAGCACTCAAGCACACATTCATGAGAACATTGAAGAACTGATAACCCTGATATTACCACATGCAAGCTGAATAATCTAGAATTGATCTGAGATTGGATACATTGTATTTGCTTTTTGAAGATCCTATGGATAATCTAAGAGTCATTGATCCTTCGCCAGCTATTCTTCTAAATATTGATGTTTTCTGCTTCCTGCAGTGGCCATCAGGAGACGCAGACAGACAGCTGAAATCCAGCAGAGTGGAGGAGATTTTCTTCCTCTCAAAAAGCTGCAGGATCTCTTCCTCCCAGGCCTTAGATGCCCAGCGGCAGCCTCTAGCCCGGGACTCGCAGCTCCCAGCAGCATAGCGGCTCTGAGCCCCTCAGGATCTCCCCTGGCAGACCCTCTTCTGACCCAGTGCGGCTCAAGCCCCTGGAAGCCCCCCTACAGTCACCATGGGAACCGTGCTGTCTTTGTCCCCTAGCTACCGAAAGGCGGCCCTCTTTGAGGATGGGCCGGCCACGGTGGGCCACTACACGGCCGTCCAGAACAGCAAGAACGCCAAAGACAAGAACCTGAAGCGCCACTCGCTCATCAACGTGCTCCCATGGAAGCGCATCGTGGCGGTGTCGGCCAAGAAGAAAGGCTCCAAGAAGGTGCAGCCCAATGGGAACTACCAGAACAACGTCACCCAGCTCAACAACGAGAACCTGAAGAAGTCCCAGTCATGTGCCAACCTGTCCTCCTTCGCCCAGGATCAAAGCACTCCAGCTCTCACCAAGGCCTCCAACAACACAGTGGCCTCTGTGAAGAAGGCTCCTCTCACCACCTCCAACGTGGCCCCCGGGACCCCGAAGAGGGTGATAGTCCAGGCCTCCACCAGCGAGCTCCTGCGCTGCCTGGGGGAGTTCCTGTGCCGGCGCTGCTACCGGCTCAAACACCTGTCCCCCACGGACCCGGTGCTGTGGCTGCGCAGCGTGGACCGCTCTCTGCTGCTGCAGGGCTGGCAGGACCAGGGCTTCATCACCCCCGCCAACGTGGTCTTCGTCTACATGCTGTGCCGCGACGTGGTCTCATCTGAGGTGGCCACGGAGCACGAGCTGCAGGCCGTGCTGCTCACCTGCCTCTACCTGTCCTACTCTTACATGGGCAACGAGATCTCCTACCCCCTGAAGCCCTTCCTGGTGGAGAGCTCCAAGGAGACGTTCTGGGACCGCTGCCTGTCCATCATCAACCTGATGAGCGCCAAGATGCTGCAGATCAACTCCGACCCGCACTACTTCACCCAGGTGTTCGCCGACCTGAAGAACGAGAGCCAGAAGGAGGAGGAGAGGAGCCGCCTACTCATCGGCCTGGACCGGTGAGGGGATGCTGGGGGGGGGGGGGTTAAACACCAGTCTGGCATTTCAAAAGAAAGATGGTTTGTGATGCTATTTATTTATTTATTATCGTCCAAATTGAAGTAGGACTAGGCCAATTAGGAACATTTATAACAACTTTGTAACTAGTATGACTGAATCTTTCACTCTGGAGGGGGAGAGATTACAAACGTTTGCATTTTTGTCACCTAAAAATGGGGGTTTTGCCACTCGATGACATCCATTTGACAACGCCAAAATGTTTTTTCAAACAAGCAATGGATGGATTTTCCGTAAACCCGAGAATGAAAGGGTTTTTTCCGAGGATGATGTATAGTAAAATACAAATGCCAGACCTGGGGTGAATCCTTTGCTAACGTACAGATATATATCTATATGAAACACTGAAAATCTTAAACAGACAATGCAGACAAAACTAGAAGAGGAACATCTACAGCAATGAATGTGGAGAGGACGAATGCTGCGGCAGCCTACCAGTGACCTTCTGACTGTTTGACCATGTGATGTGCTGCCTACTGCAGGAGGGCGAGGGCCATCGCCTGACTGGCTTTCTTCCTGCATCACGGATGAACAGCCCCCCCCCCCCCCATTCCCATTCCCATTCCCATTCCCACTCGGCTGCAAACTGTGGCTCTTGCCAACACCTCGTCCCCTCCATTAACACGGATACGAGTGGACATCTTTTGCTGCGATGCATATCTGAGAGAACAGCAGGGGCCATCGATGCTGGATCCATATTTTTGTGGCTTTCTGTTTGTGGCTGTACACTGGACAAGAGGAAACAGATGGATTGACAATAAGCAAACATTGCATTGTGGGACTTTTTTGACAACAGCCAGAGGACGTTTGATGAGTCAGTCAGAAATACCTAACTTATTTTCATCTAGAAAAAAATAATGGATGTTTTACTCCCCACAGGCGTACACCTATGGAGGCTTATTTATTGCTTTTCTGAAACAAGTTTTCTTTGATTTTTTTTTTTTTTTTTTACTTAGAAATGTAATGTTTTGCACGTGTGCCATGCAATTTTACAGAGATTTACAGAGGGTAGGAACAATATTCTTATTTTTACTTGATTTGTAAGCCAACTGCATCTACATTAGAGAATGCTGTGAACAAAGTGACACTAGTTTATTTAGCTCTGCTTGCTAAAATAGGCTTTTTGTTTACCAGGGAAATTCTTTTTGTACTTTCTTCAATTTTTGGAATGATGTTTAATTTCGTGCTTATGATTCAGCATAGAAAATGTTTAAAATAACAGTGCCATATCTTTGATGAAAACCCCACAGGTCCAGCTGTTGAAAGATGGGATGGGTTTTTCCTCTACTACTAACTACTTACTGACACCTAATTTATTGCCATTTACGTATTTATTTAGGCACATCTAATTTTAAAGAAGGATCGGGATGAGAGACTTTGAGAAGGGGAAGGATGTGAGGAGGGGTCCTGCTTATCTTTGGTGGGAATGAAGATTGATCTGGTTAATGCAAATGAATGTTGCGGGAATTTATCGATGAACACCTAATTAGAAAAAAACAATGTCAAATCTGACCATTACCAAAGTGACATCATCCAGGACACCTTGACAGAAACACATCTGTTTACCTGAAAAACTGCCCTTAAAAAACATCTACTCTGCAAACTGCTGTCCCACATATCACACTTCTCCTTATATTGAAGGCACTCACTGCAGAAAAGCACCTTGAGGATTTTCCATCAGCGTCGCCTCTGTGTAAATCAAATGCAGGGTGACATCACATTCATCAAGAGGCTGCGGGAGATGACCTCTATAGGAATAATCACACTTTCAATCATAGAAACCACCAGAATAACACTGACAGGCTGCAATGGCAACCACATGAGAACCAAAACAGGAACAATTCGATTTGTATGTTATATAAAAACTACAATCACTGGAGAAGCTACAGTATTTCGATCTAAGAAATCCTAAATAAGCTGTCAAACAAGCATAATGGTAGTGCCAACAAAATGCCTCTGTCATGTTTTAAATGTGTTCCCAGAGGATTGAAGGCTTTTCGCTCCTGTAGTGTGAATCAGAGGTAATGAGCAGCCTCCTCTGCTGTGTGGAGGAAGTTCATTTGGAGTGTTTGTACTGGCATGCACTTTGGATGGGATTCTGCTCAGGCAGAATAAAAGCAGGGCTTTCGGGGTTAAGGGCCTCATGAATACACCCCCATTGGTTTTCTTTCTGTCCACTTTCCCCCCGATTCACTCGAAATGTGCCATTTTTTTCTCCACTTTGCATCATTGAGTACTTGTTTGAGAAAATACTTTCAAAACGCTTATAAAATATGAAAAAAGACTCAAGTGATAGTTAAAGTCAAATTCTTTTTCTGTATCTTGTTGCGTACTTTGTAGATAAAAAATAACGAAACAGTGATGAAGAACTTCAGAAAGGGAGGCATTCGATGGCCGCATGTGTGCGTGAATGTGTGTGTGCATGTGTGAGTGACTGGCAGCTTTTTATTTGTACAGAAGAATGTGTGACATGTTGTTTTTCTTATGGACATGAAGCATACACCAACCACACTGCTACTAGGATTTCAGTTTCCCTCAGTGGGGGTGAGGGAGGGGTGTCCATGCTGTTCAATAAAAATGTTCTTTTTGAAAAAGACAAAAAAGCTGTTAATGTAATTGAACCTTTTTTTTCGGTTGGTTTTCTGCTTATTTTCATTTATTTTTGTACTGTGATGGAAAAATAAAATGCACTGATCGTTGAAGGTGGCCATTTGTGTTTTTGTGCCTCCAGCTGTTGACTGATTAGCACTCATGTGCAAATCTGCACTTTGCAAACTAACTATATGACATTTAACATATGTTAAAAGAAAAGGTGGTGCTTGATGGTTAACTTGGGGGGGTTAGGGTTTTGCTCAACAGCCCCTCAATCCAACTTAATTGTAGGGTTGGTGGTTTGATCTTCTATAGATGCTAAAGGGGTCAGTGTTCCTAAACAAAGACATTGACTGCCAAATTGCTCCCAATGTCTGCGTCTATCTGGTTAAAATGTCCACTTACTCGAGAAAATACAGATACTTTGTTATAAGCATGTTCACGTAGGAACAATTGTCTTTCTACCAAACAAACCTTCCAGCAGGTGAACATACTGGTTGGTGATATGGTTTAAAGTTAATTAAGTCAGTGCTTGCAGGTGTACATCGGCAGAAAGAAAATAGTTCCTTTATGAAAACATTGTTTATAGTCGCCACTGGGAGGACACCAGGTTACTCAAGTCAAGTTCATTCTTGAATTAAGCCCACAAACTCTAATCACTGTACAGTATAACGCTCTCCAATTGTGATAGGGAGAAGCCTTAAAGGAACAGTACGCAACAAAATAATAATAAAATAATTTCTTGTTACCTGTAGTGCTATTTATCCGTCTAGATGGCCTTGGTGTGAATTGAGTGATGGAGATATCGGATGTAGAGATGTCTGACTTCTTTCCAATATAATGGAACTAAATGGCACTTGTGTTTAAAAAGAAACAAAATGTAAAATCAACAAAAAGACATTCTCTTTCGAGGAAACCATGATCTGTTCCCTTGAGATCATCCACAGACCCTTTTATGAGCAGCTTCTTTTAGGAAAATGTTTTCTTCCTATTCTATCTACTGAAGTACACCCACCATATCAATGTGTGAAAATAAACATGCTTTGACAAAGCTAGCTCTCGTTACAGCTCAGCTGAGGAGGATGTCATTGTTTACATTTCTCGCTGTCACTCTTCCATGAGTTCATGCACGCTTTCATTCTAGGCAGTTGTACGGTTGTTGGGTATGTTAAGTATATTTTGTGTTTTGGGGTGAACTGTCCCTTTAAGAGGGATCGAAGAAGGATCTTGGGCTTGTTATTATTTGTACAACAGACACCTGAAGTGGAAGAAACTGAATTTGCCAACCATATATTGCACAATTATTTAGATCGTTTTACAAAATATATTTACGGTCTTTTCTTCACGCTCCCTTGCTTTTAAGTGGTTATGCCTTCTCAATCAAAGAAGCTGTTTAACATTTACAAATGACCGCCTGATGGGAGGAGGGTGTGGAAAATCAGCCTCATATCAGTCTGTATTCCTATGTGTGTGTTTACATTTAGATATTTAGTTTAAACATGTAAAACACAACAAAATTTCATTTCCGAGAAGGTTCAGGAAGTCTCACCTTTTAAAATAAATACAATTAATATAAACAGAAATATTCTAACTTTCTGCCAGTGTTCATCATACACATGTCAATCAAATTAACCGTGTTTATGTCCAAAACACAACTATGGAAATAATCTTTAAAAATCAATGTATTATTTCCATAGCGACAAGAATCTTCCCATGTAAAGAAGCATCCCTGTGAATCAGTGTGTATCTCCTCACACAGCAGATCAGTGTGGGTCAGTGTTTTCTTTGCATATCGCTCTCTCTCCATTAACTCCCATTCATTTAACCACCAGGTCAGTGAGTCCTGTCTGACTCAGTCACCTCCCTGCGGGGGAAACAGAGTCGTCCCACTCTGCAGATAGTCATCCATCAGTGGATTATACACCCTGCTGAGTAGGCTGCTGATGGTTCACACAGTGGCAGTGGGAAGCAACGTTGTCATGCCGACTGCAGGGGTTTTGAGCTGTTTCCACGTCACCCGCTGAAACAGCTGTTAGTCGGCGGATTAACGATGAGCTCCAGCCTCACAGTACGGCCTCGGGAAACATTAGAGACAGAATAACATCATTACAACAGTTTATCTGACCCCACACACACACACACACACACACACACACACACACACACACACACACACACACACACACACACACACACACACACACACACACACACACACACACACACACACACCACACACACACACACACACACACACACACACACACACACACACACACACACACACACACACACACACACACACACACTAGGAAGAAAATGACAGCAGCTATTGATGCAAATACATTTATTAATAAAATGATTAATGAAATATTTTTTAATTATGGAACATCATGGAATCTGCATTTATACGGAGTTCATTTGCAAAAAAAATATTACAACGGGGAAGGTCCCTTTAGACTTGGTCTGGATATGACAGAATATTTACGGTACGTAATCACAAAATATGCAAAATACAAACTTAATAAAATGAGGCACATTCTGAATGATGTATACAGAGTATGGAATAAATTATGGGAAATAAATTGGAATGTTTTACCCTTTGGCTAACATGGATAGGCTTGGTATTAGTGTTGTAGTTAAGCTAGAGGAAAAGATCCCACTATAGAACAAGAGACAAACACATGGCACAATATCATAGTGTCAACATTCATATTTGACATTCTTTTACAGTATTATAAAGCGTTATTAGGAAAAGTGATTTTTACACCTGCGGTAAAGCTGATAATGAATCAAATGTAATCTTGACTGATTGGAACTCAATACAACAAAAAGAATCATAAAAAAAAAATCAAATCACTGGCACACTGTTTCCCTGGCTAACACTGTCCTTCATTATCAAGAACACAACATGTGGATTCATCCGCTACAAAAAATAGTCCCTAACAAGTAGTAACTCATTTACTATAAGAAACAGCTTCAATTTAATGAAAAATACATATTGTCAGCTGTTTTTGAAGATTTAGGACAAATGTTCTGTCCCAAAGTAATGAGAGACAGATACCACGTTGTTTGTTTTCATGGGATTTGATAATAACAAAAATAGAAAATGACTATCCTAATCCGTTAACAGGTTTTGGAACCACAGCTTTTCCATTTCATTTGTTTTATAAACATTTTGTTTTGTCTTTCTCATTTTCATAGCTGCATAATACTCCTATTGTTTGCGAAGTGTTGTTGTGGTGTATTTCGCCTCTTTATTTCCACGCCTCCTGGGCATAGGACGGAAAGAATAAAAAAACACAGTACAGACAGCCCTACTGGGCGAGAAGAGAAGTGATCTGACAGAGGAAGAAGAGTGTGGCAGGGAGGGAGGGAGGGGAACATAAAGGAAGTGGAGAAGAAGAGGATGCCAAGCGAGGCTTTGTTCACCCACCCCCCTTTTTGCCTAAAGAAAAGGAAAGAGAATCGCTGAAGTGAGAAGTGGCACGGAGTCCATCCTAACGATGAGCGGTGAACAGAGGAGGAGGAGAGGAGAAGCCCTGTGCGACGTTACTGTGCTGGAGGGGATGGAGAGCTGCAGTGTTAGAGTCCACACACACACACACACACACACACACACACACACACACACACACACACACACACACACACACACACACACACACACACACACACACACACACACACACACACACACACACACACACACACACACACACACACACACACACACACACACACACACACACACACACACACACCTCTGCGCCATTAATGCTACCAATGTCACGTCCTTACTCCACACAATGAATGCACCAGTTTCCCCAAACAATTCTCTTCTGCATCAAAGTGTCAGGACAAGGTCAGCCTCCACAGAGCCGCGGCGTGCAAAGGAAGGAGATTTGCTTCTCCAAACCAAAAGACACGGACACTTGCAAACTAATTAAGATAAACGACTGGACTGCACAACGCTCGGGAACAATTAGAGCGCCGTCGCTAACATGTGATTGTTAACAAGTTTTTCCTTCTTGTTGAAGTAAAGACGACAGGAGTGCCTCTGCCTCGCCAACTGGGCCAGACACAGAGAGGGGGGGGGGGGGGGGGGGGGGGGGGCAGAACCCTGTCTCTCTTCTCTTTGTCTCTGTGGGTAGAGATGATACATCTCTGCTTTTCTCATCCCAACAAGTTACTGTCAAGTCATCATGAGGACCTGAAAATAAAGCAACTTCATGTAGAAATGAAGACAAACTAATCCATTCCCTCTAAATTTGACAATGAGCATTTCCTGTGCAAAGAGGCAGTAATCAGAAATGATAGATGTTGAAGGATGGACTAGTCTGTTATACTTGGGGAATAAAAAGTACTAAAGCATCTTTCCTTAGCAACAAGAGGATTCCACCAGCTTTTATCATGCGGTTACCTAGCGATTATTTAGTAAGGAACCTTCCTAACTAGACTTCGTCCACAGCCAATGTCTCCAAATAGTCACAAAATGTCTCACCCATTATTAGACAGGGAGGGAAAGTAGGCCAGCAGTCTGATTCCAGACTTCACTCCTTCACTGTGGACATTCACTCAGAGCCAAGAAGAGGAGAGCTACAAGGAGCTACTGAACACACACACAACACACACACACACACACACACACACACACACACACTACAACACACACACACACACACACACACACACACACACACACACACACACACACACACACACACACACACACACACACACACACACACACACACACACACACACACACACACACACACACACACACACACACACACACACACACACACACACACACACACACACACACACACACACACACACACACAGTCTGATGAGTGGGAGATGTGTCTATTCCACAGGATTAAGGAACATTACAGTTCATTAGGCTATTCACCCACCACAAAGACAGACAATGAGACTACGTTCAGGGGCTGGAGTTCACGTGGGATTATACAGTACTGGCCAGCAACACTCTGTTACTAAACTTAAGTCTAGGAATTGAATATACTTTGGAAAATATAATGCTTTGGATATCTAGTATCTATTAATGCAGTTTAAGTGCCGTCACAAAAGGTATATTCTATCTTTAATATATAAGCAGTATTAGAGGATTATAAAAGTACATATTGCATTAGAGAGTATACAAAGCAGGATTTAAATTAATAGATGTGTAACACTTTGCATAGCAGGTTGATCAGGACATGCTCAACACATCCTGGTCAGCGTCTACGATGAGTTTAGAGTCGGTGCCTCAGACACGGACTGAACCACTGAATCACACGTCGCTGTTCTCACGTGATTGTAAACATTTCATAACTCAAAGTGGACGCTGCATTTCCTTTCATTTACCAGGTAGGTAGGTAAGTCTTCATTAATATTCCCTAGAATACATACCACAAAAAGGGGGTTTTCTTCTACTTTAGAGCATATAATCAATCAAGTTCATGAAGAATCAGTCATACATAAATATCATCTTACTGCCGGTTTAGATTTGTACTACCCAGGGAGCTGCCCCAAGTATAAATTCCTGTAGAGCCTTTTTCTATTTCCCCCCCACTAATCTCCTCTCATCTTAACTACTACGATAAAGTAAATATTGCACAAAGCAAATCATATGAAATTTGGATTTTCAAAAAGAAAGAACACCACTTTGGTGGATTATCCTGTAGTGCATTTTATAAAAACCTGTGTATCTTGTATGTAGGCGTAAAGCACACTTCCTGTTCATAGTAACATTGCATAGAAGTCTACGAAACAGGTCAAATTTGGCATGGCTTTGCATACGGAGGATTTAATTACCACAACCCTCCTACAGAGCTATCTAAATCATCACACAATCAGATGCTGGTGACACAAAAGAAGTGAATCAGAGCTGAATCATCATCATCATCATCATCATCATCATCATCATCATCATCATCATCATCATCATCATCATCATCATCATCCCGGCCTGCTTCTGAAATCAGCTGTCACGGTTTTCATTTGGCCCATTTGTTTTAGTTGCCAGGAACAGCCAGGATGTAACCCGATCTGCTCTTGGTGAAGTCTGGCTGTGATTGGTTGATCTTGGGCTCGACGATGACCGTGCACTTCCTCCCGTTCATGCTGCACTGGATGGGACTCGTGATGTTCACCTGCAGCTTCCTCTTCTCACTGGACAGAGGAAAGAAGAGATGGAAAAAGGGGATTAGGTTATTGGCAGGTGTAAGGATACATTAGGTAAAGCACAGGAGAAGAATACTCACACATACAATCAAGGTTAATCCATATACAGTTACTACAACAGTGATATATATGCCTGCCACGCATTACATCCTCACATAGTTTAATGTACAGGAATATAATATGCAGATCCATTAGTGACCCCTGTGTGTGAGGGCGGAGGTATGAGAGGCTGTTCCGGCCATTCATCATACTTGTTCTCACACACGTCATCATGATCCCACATACACACACCGTACTCTCGTATAAACTCAATCTCTTTCACTCATGCATATTCTCACACTCTTACACACGCATACCATTACTCTGTTTGCAGTAGTATTTTCAGACATGAGATATTGTATGTACTGTAAGAGATGATTTGTTTGTGAATGAAGAGAAGGGATAGTGTGTTTAAAGATAATATTGAGATGTGAGATAGTTCTTGGCTCAGAGGTCACCAAGGTGATTAGGTGGCAACTAATACATGTTTAAAACCCTTCAGCTGCCCACATCCCTAAATGAGATTAGAAGCACATTAAGACCTGGCTGATTAGACCGATAGTCCAGTTTCTTTTGGATGGAGCTGTGTGTAGATTGCCAAGAAGTGACAAATATGCCATTAAATCTCAGCTTGATGATAATCAAACAGCAGCAGGTAGACCAGGTAGTGGAAAAATAACTACACTTTCCATTTGGAGTCAACCACCACAAGCCATTTGAAATACTGTATGTATTCATCTGAATTGTTTTAAGACGTTATTGGTCAATGTGCATATATACAGTATATACATTATGTTAATTATACACAGATGCTAATAGAGTATAAATAATCCAGCGCTCCCTAAATCATTAATCGTTTCTCCCTCCCCCAAAGCCCCTGATAAACAAAGTTAAAGGTGAATTTAAATGTAAGCTTTATTTGTTTTATTTGGTATTGTGCAAATGTAGTTATGATGAATGCTTTTAGTCATGTAGTGAATATCTGATATTGTGACAATAGCTGCACAGAGCCGTCAGTATAAACTGTTGCCTACTCAAAAATATAGGAAATTCTTTAACAAATCTAATATGGTTATAAGGTTATATTATTAAATCATTTGACTAAAACAAATATGATGTGACCAGCTGCTCTGATCATGTCGTCCTAAATGCCTATAATATGATTAGCTAATAGGCTAAGCTAGCTAGCATATTTACCTCATAAACACAAAAGGATTATATATATTCTCATCTAACTGCAAAAAACAAATACAGGTAACTCATTCCAAAAAAGTGGAACAATTCCTTTCAAATGACGGTTTCATTGATCAGTAGGTTGCAGATTAGCCTACAGCCTTGTTGATAACAAAATAGTGTATATGCTCGGTGGCATAGTTTGAAACATTTAACGCTAGAAGGAGCATTTGAAGAAGCCAAAATAATTTAAGGGACATTTTTTGTTGTTGTTTCGAGTGTTGTTTTATGACATTGATTGTGCAAGGCAGAGGAAACAGGTGTGTGTGTGTGTGAGAGAATAATAGTGTATGTGCATGATTATGCTGCTGTATACTCTAAAATCATCTCTGAGTGCATGTATCAGCACATGTGAAGAACAAATGAAGATAAGTAACAGGAGAAATGGAGCAGGAGGGCTGTCGAAGTAAGGATCCATATGGTGTTGTCGGGCTAGATTGGCCTTTAGCGGCTGTCACATCTAGTTAGACCCCTCCTGGGCCGATTGGTGCTCTGCAACGTTTGCTCTTAAACGGGATCGATGACAGGAATCAAAGAGCGAGGAGAAAAAGGGCAGAAAGTGTGAAGCTGCTGTTCAGAGTGAGGAGACTGTAATGTGATGTAAACGTAGAGGGGAATGAGAGGATGGATGTGATAATCGTCCTCTGTGTGGCAGGGAGAGGATGTCATGTAAATGTGAAGCAGAGAGGAGAGGAGGGGAGGAAATATCCCTCTGTCCGCTCGGCGTGACACACTTTCTCCCTGACACAGTTACTGATCATGGCTGTCGTTCGTAAACAAATCTATAAACTGCAAACACTAGGATTCGCACAAGTGGCCAATCACTGTCCCTCGCTTCTAAAATTAGGAAATGAGTCGTGAACCTGACGACTTGTTGCGCAACAATAAGTCATAAACAAGCAGCAAAAGGCTGCCCACGCTGCAGCCTCTCTATCTCTCTCGGCTTATGCAGAGAGGCTCAGGGTAGCACTGATGCTCGTTTCCATGGCAACCCCCCCCTGTGAACTGAACTCCCCCATCTGTCATGGCTGCCAGCCAGCCGATGGGACTGTGTGTGTGTGTGTTGTGATTCGTCTGTTTCTCCGAGCGTCTCTCATCCCGTTACTTCTCCATCTCCCAGAAATGCCAGAGGGGGTGTTGTGCTCTCCGTGAAGGGCAAACAGGGTTACGCTCACATTCACAGAAATACACCAACACACACACTAAGTATAAACACCATCACAAAGCTTCCATTGGGTGCACCACACAGGTCTTTGACACCTTTCTGATCCAGCAGTGCTGAAGCTTGCCTCTGAATAAACACTCTGGCTTTGCAATAAAAAAAACGTCATCTCTGGATAGAAACATAGGATCAGTGGAGCCTTAAGGTCACTGGCTGGCCTTTTCCATCAGGAGCCAGTCGGAGCCCCGAGGGCAGACTTCTCTGGAAAATCAATTCTCTCCTTCTCCCTACCCCCAGCTGCCTTTGTGAGTCTTTGCCCTTCATGCCATGCTAGCCCAGGCTCACTGGCTACCAAAAGTACACCCTCTTTACTTTAAAGAGGAACAGGAGTGAAAAATAAGGTACAACACTACATTTTGGAGGCTAATGCAGGAGTGAAAGAGTGGCGAGATGGGTCTGTAAAATACAAGTTGATAGGTAAGAATTCTCAGAGCGGTGCCGAGAGGTATCAGAGTGGAGAAAAGCCGCAAAATAAAAGGACGAGCAGGGATATTTTGAGATCGGAGAGCCAGGATTACCTTCTCTCCCACTTCTGAGTCATCCCTCTAATAGTGTACCTGGCTCTCCCCCAAGCTCTCTGCTGTTTAAAAAAACATGATTGCTCAAGGGGGAGGAGGAGAAGGAGGGGGGGGGGCATTCTGCAAAGCTGATGAGCTACAGTATAAAGACTCAGGACTTTAAGCAGGTGATCATGTTCCCTGGCGCACATTCTTTTCTATGGACGACAGCTCTAGTTAGATTCAGGGTCCATATTTGTTTAGTCTCGCTGATGAAGAATGTTGATTATTACACTCTGAACTAAAACCTCAAGCTACAGAAGAGTTCTTGAGAATTGATTGTGGCATCTCAACCGTGTGGTCAAACCGTGGCCCGTGACATGTCTTGTGAATTCTCCGGCCGAAGCTCTCAGTGTTTGCCATCAAAGCTCCAGCTCTCCTCGTGTCTCTCTGAGTCCTGACTCCAATTGCTTCAGAAGTTTCCCCCACACCTGCCTCTAAATAATAAATAAAAACTTGCAGTGCAATCTGATTTATATTAATGGGGCCCTATTATGTTTTGGGGGGGTTTTATCTTCCTTGTAGCATATTATATAGGTGTTTTGTACATTCAAATGTCTGCAAAGGCTAAGATCCCATAGTTCCCTCCAGAGGGAGTTTCTCTCCCACACACTCCCCCCCTGCCTGAAACACCTCCATTGGACTCTCTTGTTTACTTCCGTAACATAGTGACATCACTCTGTAAACATTGCGCTTTTCTTGGCTAGCGCTTTTACAGGATTGGCTATCGGGTGGGACATCTCTAAGCCGATGACCAATCACAACAGAGAAACTCTGGTTTCAGACAGAGGGTGAAAAGAGGTGCTGCAGCACAGGTAGTTTGACAAAAAATAAATACCCCTTTGAACATTAAAGCATGTAAACAGGTCACAGAAGAGACAGAAAATATAAATATGAACCTGAATATGAGCAAGGCCAATCTAACATCTGGTCAGAGAGCATCTTCTATTTATTACATTTTGTGCTTCAAATAAGCATGAAAAGCATTTCAGCCTCAACTGATTCTGTATATATAGGGATGTCATTTCTATTCCATGGGTCATCTTAATATTTGGTTCTCATGGAGACTAATGTAGGAGGTAAACATATGCATCAAAAAAGGAAGCTATTAGCATGAAAAACAAGACACAGATTGTACAAATAAAAGAGAATAGAGCAGACTGTGTCAGGAGTACACAGGGACACAACTCTTCCACTCTGAAGGAATGGACTGTATACAAAAGAGATCCACACAGACACCTGTACCCCTGCAGGTTGATGCAGATGGGGCAGGATATGGACCCATGCTGTTGATCTGTCTGAGCCTCAGTGCCTCCACACACAGCCCAGACTAAAGGATGGCACTTTCTCCACATAACAACAAAACAAACTACAGTCTCCTCACATCAATATTTCAGTTGGTGAGACCACACTGAGATCAAGAAAGCAAATGCAAAGAGAGGAGAAAGCATCAAAACATGTCCTGTATACTGTGTGTGAGTGTGTGTGAAGGTCAGGCAGCATGGGGCAGGAGCGAGGGAGCACACACACTTTATGATTGATGGAGAGTCAGGCTTATCTCCAGGCTCCCTGGGCACATTATAAAAGAGCATCTCCACATTTCCTCAGACACAGCAGGAGGAGACACAATCTTTACGGAAAGGTGGATCATTAACTATGGTTCGGGTTTATTTAAAAGATAGTGGTGCTGCAAGAGAGTGAGGGGAGTCATCTTTAGGATACCTTGCAGCTTGTGCAATATTCAAATGTTTTTTTAAGCATCTAATTTGGATTGTGACTATTAATCAGCTTTTGTTCAATGTCACACTTTAATGAAAGAAATACTAAAAGAAGAAGTTGTTTTCAGTCCATGTTTCCTAATCCCCTTGCATGTTTCTACATTTCTCCCTGTCTTCTTAGCCACCCACATGAATGTGCATGTAACACCAGACCTGACA